GCTTTATATTCCTCACAGAGCGAATGCGCGTAGAAAAGCTTTCCCTCTTTCGTGACGTCATCAAAATGCTGTCACGGCCTAGTCCTTTTCTAGATGGCCTTGGTATGTGTCGGTGTGATATCTATATGAACTAGTACCAACATCACGCGAAGACGATCGTTTTGGCGTGATGGGTTAAGTACTCGCGTTCGGAACGGAAGGTACCCAGAACGAACCTTCCTCCTTCATATTATTTTGTAACAAAAAATTTGATATATTTCCTGAAATACTAAAGAGTGGGAATTTGGAATTTCATTTATTGTATATTACTTTTTTATTTTGTACTCTGCATGTTTAATGTCAATTTTCTTTCATGTTGTAACTTAGGTTCGAGGCAGGATTATACATTCAATCATGAAATTCGATAAGTTTACACATCTTTCACTAATTACTTTCTGCCCATCACGGAGTGGGCTCCCTACAGACATTCCTTCCACCCATACGCCGTCCGACGTCAGCTATCCAAAAGGGGACAGGGGCAGTAAGAGTTCTTTGTAGATAGAGTCACAGATGTTTTATTTTAGTCTTGGGTGTAGTTACTTTTAGGTATTATTATAAAAATAAACATTTGTGATCCCCTCCATCAGTAGACTCTTTTTAGAAGAAATTGGCATGCTGAAATGGGCGATTCCTTCTCTTACATTCTACTCATTTAAGTTAATAACAGATAATTATGTCCTTAATTTCGAATCATTTTGTATTGGTTTTTAAATAATATATATATATATGTAATACTTCTGTAATATTTCTGGTGAGAGTGGTAATAAAATCACTGTAAGACGTGGCGAGTGCATGTTATTACGGTAAGGTTGATCATATTTTAGATGGTTGGTATTTATTATTTGAGGGCATTGAAGAGCCAGTCCTTTGAAATAATAATTCCGGTTTATTGAGCATTAAATAATTTGCGTTTCAACATCACAAGAAGCAGATAATGACACAAAACATATAACAAAGAACACAAACACACAACGGTATTCGATTACATTACGAAAACAGACGAGAGAAGAGACGGGATTTCCATAGACATCGGTATTTGTACTTTGACTATTTTGTAATAAGAACTGTGATTGGTAAAAATGGGCGGGAAAAAGGTTTCTGATGTAATAATATTAGTCGATTACAATTAAGATTAGGACGTTAGTTTTGAACCTAAGAATTAAAGTTTATTTATAGATTATTAAAAAGAGTTAATTAAAAGGATGTCAGAGGGAATTATTACACAGATATATAATCGAACTTTGGCTTTTCATAAACAAATAAGAATTCAAATTAATATTAACTTTAAATTTCCACATATATTTCTTACTCCCAAATTTAATAAAGACCCAGTCAAATTTAGGACAGTTATAAATGGATTTAATACATATATCAGCAAAACAGGCAAAATTCTCCTTGAAATATTGCATGATACAATAAATAATCATAAATCCACAGCCATACTTAAAAATAGTAAATCACTTATTGAACAAATGAAAGATAAAAAGATTTATTCAGACTATAGTTTAGATTTTGAAGATCTTTTTAACTCTATTAATATTAATGATATGATTAATATACTTTAAATTTTGGTAAAGATAATTTATTTAATAATGTTAATTATGATGGATTTTGCTCACTACTTAGGTTTGTACTTAAAGAGAACTACATATATTATAATGGTAACTATTATCTGCAGATTAAAGGTTTGCCCTGCGAGCAACTGTCTTGCTAATTTATATTTACATTATTTGAAAGTAGTTACATTAAAAATTCTAAATATTACATTTATCGTTACATAGATGACATAATCATTTTTGGCAAGCAAGTCAGTTTTATACCTAACACTAATTTTTATCCACAATATCTTAATTTAATACAGACAAATAGTAACACCAATGAAGCAAATTTTCTTGATATACATATCAAATTAAATGATAATGTAATAGTTTCTAATATTTATGATAAAAGAGAAGAATTTAATTTCAAAAGTTCCTCATTGGGAGAGTAATGTACATGTGTTTCTATATTCAGAAATATTGTTATTAATTATATACAACGCAATAAATTTCTAGTGTCAAAAAAAACAAGAAACAATAAATAACTATAAACATTTTACTAAATATTGCTTAAATCACAAATACCCAATTAATTTTATTAATAGTTATATGAATAAAGCTATTCGAAATAGTAAGGATTAAAAATTCTTAGATTAATAATAGTTTATTACTATAAATTTACAAATTTCCTGGTTATAGTTACCTCCCTATTCTAATAGATAAAATTATTTATTATTATTAAACTCATATATACTCTAGTGTCACTAAAGTTATGGTAATTTGTAACTCTCTTTTTAATTTTTATTTCTATTCTTTTTATACTTTTGTTAAGTGCTACATTTCAGCCACTCAGATGCTTTGAATCTGCATTAGGGTCCAGAATATGGCAAATACTTATTTATTGCACTCAGATTTAGCGCGGGCTATGCATTTTTAAGTGCATTGATTAGGTAAGTTACCTCTATCTTGTAATGGATTTAGATATTCCTATCCATTACTTTCAAAAGGTTTTTGCTCAGTATTATTTACATAAAGGGGGAAGGTTGGCTGGCCAAAAAACATGTTCAACCCCACTTTTATATAAATTATTTTATATATTAGCCGTGTGTCCTAAGTCAGCAATGTTTTTAATACTGCAACATCCATATTATAATTTTTAATCTCGGTTGTTCATGTGTCCTTCATTATGGGATTTTCCTACTGTCTATGTGTTTTTCGTATGTTATTGATGGATGTTTATCTCTTGTTTGTAGAGAATTAGATTATATATATATATAATATTGTTATGCTGAATTTTTGTTCGCAAGAATTATTCAAGTTTTATAGGTGTGCATTTTTGGAGATAGGGGCGGCAAAACTGCTAGAGCCGGCCCTGATTTTAATATCAGGTATTTCTTTCGATAAAAATGCAACACAATTTTCTATATATGCCCAATTTATTTGCGATTAAGTCAAAAAACACCAGTGAAAACTGTTACTTCCTGTAATATTTGTTTCAGAACATTCTTTGACATGTTGGGCACACGTTTATTAAAAACTCTGCACTTCTTTAGAAAACTTATCGGTTATGTCCAGATTATATTTTTCTAAATTTGACAATTTTCTTTTTATTATTAAAAGAATAAATTCTTCTTCAAATCGTGCTTTTTATTGAAGGACAAAATCGTTCAAAATGAGACTAACTTCTATAGCTGAAATATTTTTGCCTTCAATCTTTTGAATAGTGTTGTGGAAAATAGATGCCTGACTATGTACAAAATACGTTAATATATCCGCTAATTCATACTGTACCGGCACATGATTCGTAGTAGTTCGGTCTGGCATCTCTGAATACAAAGATTAACACATTAGTTTTGTTGTTGTCGTGTGTTTTTTTCCTGGGACACATATGAAATACAAGTGGAAGAACAGAAACATACAATACAAATAGAAGAATATAGGCATTTATTACAAATGATGATCCCAGCATATAACAGAAAGGGTGCGCTGCTTTCTATTCGAGACGGGAATCCATTACAGGCGAAAGTCCGATTTCTTTTCCGGAGAAAATAGAACCATGCCTTATTCGGGATTCGAACCCGAGCCCACTCAATTGCAAGCCGAGGGTCATATCCACCAAACTGGCTGGGCGGCAGGGGCGTAGCTACCGCCGTATCAATGATACGGGGAGCCCAAGCTACAGTGGCCCGACATATGTAACTACAATTCTACTAATGCCTAAGAAAGGGCCCCGAAGGAATTTTGATGCAGGAACCCCTCAGAACTAGCCACGTCAGTGCTGGGCGGCAACAAATTAGTTTTAAAATATTAAAAAGTAGGACACTATTTGAGGAAAAGGACAGCACTTATAAAAGAAGGACTGTCCTCCCTAAAGGAGGTCACCCAATATTTGCATTTGAAGTGCTGTTAACTGCGGATGACTAAACGCGCACGGATCAGGTTCAAACCAATTGAGATTATTGCATGGAAATTGGAAAAACATTAACACATAAATTTCTACAAACTGTCTAACAATGTATATAACTAATCCACATATGATGATAATATAGTGGAATTCACACATTATTTTGTTAAACTTTACCATAATAAAAATGTGCCGCCGCACACACACACAAAGAGTAAACGAAAATTGAAAATATATTCAGGATATTAGTTATAACTCCAACGCAACTCATCAGATTTAATTTATAGATATTCATTAAAAATGAATGAGGCTTATATAAATTTATGAAGTTACAAAAAATTATTTTGTGAACTTCAAGATGTGAACGGTGAATTTTTTTATTTGTGTAATCAGAGATAAATCAAATGGAAAAAAGTAGGAAAAAGAACTCATTTCAAAGAAAATGAATTAAAATAAATTTTCAAAAAATACAGAAAAGATAAATCGAATGATTTGTGTTCAAATCACGTAGTTCCATTAAAACAACGAATTTCTTTGGCACTAAATAATATTTAACAAACGAGGCGGAAATAAAGACTAAAAAAA